TCCCGTGCCACAAAGGGCAGGGCATGTGACATTAGGTTTAAACTGCAGCAAAGCAGCAGATTTGGAAGAAATTGGGAAAAAAATTCTGCCTGTAAGAACATCAGTACAATTTAACAACCTGCCCAGGGAAGCTGGGAAAAAATTGGAGATTTTTCAAAAAGGGGTGTCTGTCTGAAATGAAAAATTTGTTGTTCTTAACAAATTTTGTCAAGGAGCTGGACTAGATCACTCTTGAGGTTCCATCTAACCCTACGACTCTATGAATTGCATGATGAAGGGACAAGAGAAAATACTGAGGATGAGGAAGGTACTGAGATGGGTAGAGAGTTGAGATTGTAACCAGGTAATGATCAATTCTGATTTTGTGATGTAGGAAGGTATGTGCAGATGGAATGAGGCCAAGGGGATGACTGTTGGGAGTCGGTGAGCTGAGGGGCCCAAAGCAAGAGGGTGCTTGGTACCATACATTCCTACACTTTCCAGAGCATAAATTAATGCTCCACAGACTTCATTTTCCAGCATAGAGTTTAGTGCTTGGGAGTGCATGAAGGTAGAACTATTTGATCTCTCTGGAGCTATGCTTCCTATTTTAAATCTTCATGCAGAAAAACTTTGACAGCATATTACAGTCCCAGATCATACATGCCCATTTTCTCTGGATTCTCCCTCTGTGTGTATTGCCATGGAGCTATACCCCTTTGCCCCATGGGCTGGGGACAACTGGATTTAGATGTGTAATTTGATTTCCTTGATATTTGTTTTTGTTAATGCTTTTCTGAGCCCTTCTTTTGGAAAGAGCTGTATATAATATCAGTCATATATAGTACTGTAGCAAAACCCCCAGTTTTTCTTTTTTTTTAAATGCATTCCTTCCCCTTTCTCAACCATTTCTGACTTTTTCTTTCCTTCCTTATTCTCTATAGATAAATATAAGTAAGCTAAGACATAGGATAAGCTTCAGCATTTTATTTTGATAGCAAGTTGTATTTGGTTTGTTTTTTCGCCTTCTTTATATTGTATAATTACTATGTTTATATTGATTTTTACTGTTCTATATTACTGTTTTACTGGTACTATATGATTTAGGCCTACATATGTAAGTTAACGTAAGTCATGTCAAGTTTCCATTTTGTTTGTCAAGTCTCCATCCTGTCTCCAGGCCCAGTTGTGTAACCCATGACTCACACCTACCCCACCTATCTAACTTGGGGATGAATGAGGGTGCTTGAGAGACAATGTCATTACCTAGGGGAGTCTCTGATTTTATTAGGGCATCGTGATGGGCAGCCCAATATTTTTGCAGACAAATTGGTATTTGTACCTCAGCAAGTTATTCCTGGGTATTAGAGACTGACCTTTTAACCCAGAGTTAGCCAACCTGTGGCACACGTCCTACAAGTGGACTACTGTGTCCCAGCCACATGGGGATTGGGTCGGGACCCAATCCCCATGTGGCTGGAATGTGGCAGCCCTGGAAGCTGGGACAGCTCTCCCAGCCATGTGGAGATCAGGTTGGTACCTAATTTCTGTGTGGCTGGGAGACTTGTCCCAGCTTCCAGAACTACTGCATCCCAGCCACATGCAGATGGGAGTCGATTACTGTGGACTTGTCCTTGTTGAATCTCATGAGATTCCTTCTGGCCCAATTCTCCAATTTGTCTAGGTCAGTCTGAATCCTATGTATCTCCAATATGTGGGTGAAAGCTGGGTGAATGCAAATTTCTCCACTGAGATTATCTGCATTCTCCACAAGGTGCTCCAGGGCCTGATAGATGTTGATCAGACCAGTTGTTTTATACTCTGTTTAGGAAAGCAGAGGTGGTTGTGGCAGCAGTGGGAAATACTTTAAGGGAATTGACAGTACTTTCACCACCATTAATTGAACATCTCGGACTAATGGTTACTTGTCAAGTTGGCACCAAGGCTCAAAATCCTGTTGGACACTGTACCTCTAAACTGCTCAAGTGACAGTTTCCACAGTCATTAAAGTTTGGCTCATTAAGAGAGATTAGACTTTCTGGAAGGACTCTGCTGTTGCTCAGCCACTTGAGGTAATGAGTCTTGCCACTTTGCTCAAGTGAAGCTCCTTAACCTAGTCCAGCCCCTCTACTAGTACAGGAAAGGAAAGGATTGTCTCTTAAGCAGCAAACAGCCTACTATAAATTAATAGTCAAGTAAGTGTTAAGGCATTGCATCTGATTATAGACAAAACTTTCCATAGAGAAGGAAGGCCATTGTTTTCATTATTTTGCTACTAATGGGGTTTTGACTCTGTTGTTATCAGCAGTTGGTTGAAGAGATGCTGGGAACTATTTGATGCTTCACTGTTAACACACATAAATATAAATAAACAACAGACGGTGCTTTATGATCAGTAAAAGTGGTGTTCATACAATCATCCAAAAACTGGCATAGAAAACATTTGACCTATCCATATGTTAGCATTAAGAGTGTCCTTCATTTTCGTAGTAGTATGTAGGACATCTGTTACTGACATAACAAGTAAGGAGTGTGAACAGGGATATATCCTTTCAGAATACATACTGATAATTCCTAATAGTTTTAGTAGGGCAGACCAGGATATTTCACTTGATAAACCACTGATTATTGTATTTTATATGTTTTCTATCAGAGAGAAATTTTGTAGGTTAAGAGGAAAAAATATTCAGAAAAAGCACAAATAGATGGAAAAATAGGAGACAGGGAACATTTCCCCTAAGAGTTCTAACTGAAGGACAAATAGTAAGTGGCCCCCAAGGAAAAATTGGAGACTTGGAAACAATGGTGAGAGTCAGAAGTTGGGGAAAATTAATCACCAAAAGCTTGAAAATACTTACTAAGATAAAGGACTAGTTATTTTTTCAACAGCCAATTGACAGCTCAAGGCTTTTTTTTTAATTTTACTAATGAACAGTGTAATAAAAGTGGCATCTAATGAAATCTCAAGTGAACTTAAAAAAGGGGAAGAAACAGCAGTTTTTATCTTGGTGGAAGCAATTATTTTTAAAAGGCTTTCAGATTTCAGTTTTATAAGATTGCCTCATATTGGCTCAGTGAACCATTTTATGAACAAGTAAGCATAACAAAAGCCCTCTATAGATAGATTAGCTGCATTTCATGATAAAAATCAAGTCAAGATGATTACATCTTCAGCAATGACTCCAAGCAAGAGTGAATAGTTTTACTAGTTTTACCCAGATTTATGGCTCTACTTGTGTTAGTGATTTAGTAGGTAGTTTGCTTCCTTCTTTGACAGTACTGAACTAGTGCCCCAGAACAGTGCTAAGAGGCACTATGCTCTTGGATGTACTGTCTATTTAATAAGATGTAAAACCAAGGTCTTCACCCCCTTGTGGTCATTAAATATCCCACAGTGCTTTTTTGCAAGGATTGAAGTGTTAACACTCATGTCCAGGTTCCAACACAGTTCCTATTAAAGGCAATGGGAAGTGTGCCACTGACTTCACCAGGAAAAAGCTGCAGATAATAACTGACTGTCTCTGTAGTTATAATCGAATACAGCATGCTTCCTGACTTCAGCTCAAATTCATCAGGGTAAGCACATGACTAAATATTTTTCCAAAATGAAGTCTCAATCTGTTCAAAGGTATTGCTGTATTCTGCTAAACAATTGCTACATTTCACCAATTCGTATTTGTACCTCAGCAATAGATTAAGATACTTCTGGGTATTAGAGACTGACCTTTTAACCCAAAGTTAGCCAACCTGTGGCACGTGCTACAAATGGCACAGGCAGTTTTGGTGTGTGACACACAGCAGAGTGGGGAGGAGACAGGGAGCACAGCTGCAGATAGAGCAGGAAGCAAAGCAGCAGACTGGGTAGGCAGCACAGGACAGGAAGCAGAAAACAGAGCAGAAGTTCAGGCAGAGGAAAGGGATTGGAATAGCACTCAGTGGCTGCATCTACACATGCACTTTACTGTGGAATAGACTAATTAGCGCAGGAGTAAAATACCACTGTCTACACGTGCGATGCTATTAGGCTTCAGTATGCTAATTTAAGCCACAGTAAGATAATAATGTTGGGGACAGTTCTATCTTCTAATTTACTGTGATTAAACACACATATAGATGCTGACCATGGGTATAAATTTTTCCCAACCAGCCCAGCCAGTTGGAGGCTAGGATCTTGCCTGCTGCCTAGCCACACAGCTCCACACTTTCAGCACCCTTGTGCCCCAGCCAGCCCCTCCTCCTGCTGCTGCCGCTACCCGGAGCCCTGGGTGAAGCAGTTCTGGCATAAACTGCTCTTCCCCAGCTCAAATTGCTGCTGTCCCAGGTGCACATGTAGATGCTGTACCCAGGACCACTATACTCTGACTCAAGCTGCTCCAGAGTTTATTGCTTTGCTTTAATTGCACATGTAGACATACCCAGAGAGGGTTTGGAGCTAATCTGTAGCATGCCTGCCAAAAAGGTTGGTTCCCACTGCTTTAACTCTCATTCCCATGATGAGCCCTGACCCATAGAAGTAATTTCATTGATTGGAATGGGTCTATTCACCTGAAGTAGAATTTGTTGCATGCATTAAAGTTAATAGAAAGGGAATCCAAGAATATTAAATGCTTTAGGATCATTCAGGATTTATATGCATTTTATAAATAGAAATGATGATAATGATTATTGATAAAAACCATCTCAAAGTTCCTTTTGTTGGAGGACACTTAATTGGGTTCATATTTGGGGGTGAAGAGCAGAATTTTTACTCTGAAAAGGGATAAGTGCAGGAGACTCCATGAAGTCAAATAATCTTTTAAATCTTGTTAACAGGTGCTCAGGTAATACAGTGATAGGAGACTGGTATAAATCCCAAAACAGAGTTGTATAGGTGTTGTATAGGCAAGAGTTAATATTTCTTATTACTTTGTTTATTTTTTTCCAACTAAAATGTAAGGAACTGGACCAGTACATTTCATTACTTGTGTTCATTCTTTCTTCCCTTCTCATGATGAAGTTTTAATGATCATTTCTTCTTGCAGGAGAAGCTTAATGTCAGCAATATGGGGCATCAGGTGATAATATTTGACTTTTCTGCCATAAGAGGCTTGTGGGAAATTCGAGTAAAGAAGCACAAAGACCGGCAAAAGAAAGAGAAGGAAAGATTAGAAAAAAGCTCATTAGAGAAGTAAGCTAACTTTCTAATTTTATATTTAACCAAATCTATTGACACGTTTGTTCTTTTCATTGTGTACAAAGTATAGTCAAATGATCCACAGCAAACCATTTTAGTTTGATTGGTTTTGATTTGTTGAAGCTATTTGTTACCTCCCCTCAAATGACTATAACAGAGCATCAGCTATATTTATATTGCATTGTCTTATTTGTCACTGCTTTCCATAACCTGTGATTTGCTAATGAGATATTTTGCTTGTCTGTTGCACAGATTTAATTAAAAAATTAGAATTGCTTTTTCTGTCGTTTGCTCATGGAAAGTGTAATGTAAAAGTATTGTATTTATTATGCAATCGTTATGAAAATATACCTGTGAAATTCAATCATAGGAAATACTTTGTGGTATTTTGCCATGCGGACAGCAGAAACAAAAGGGAATAAAATATACATACAGCTAGAGTGTTCCAGAGTTCCATGAAAAGGAAAAAGAAAGCAGAACAAAGGAATTATCTGAAGAGACTTCTCTTGTCTCAACCAAAATGCAAAACAAAAGGTCTTATTATAATACTCACACCTACTGATCATACTATTGCTTTATTATTTTTTAGTAATTGTTTCTTTAAACTGTCTTTCAGTTTCTTTCTGTTTGTCCCCATTAGAGGCTGTGAAATATTATATTGGTTTGACAGTGCTGGAGATGTAGTGCTTATGTACTTTTATTGGTTCATTTTTAGCTTAGTAGAAGGAAAGAGAGAATAGAAAGGGGTGCTCTGTTTACCAGGGCACCCCTTAGAGTAACTAGGAACAATGGCCATAAACTGATGGAGAACAGATTTGGTGCTCTCCTGTACCCACCTTGGGGGTCTTTAAGAGGAGGCTAGACATGCATCTAACCCCAGTGCTCTTTCCTGCCCAGGGCAGGAGGTCAGACTCAGTGATCTACGAGGTCTCTTTTGACCCAAACATCTGTGAATCTATGAAAACAGTTTCTCTACTGTAACGTACAAAGGTAAATGGTGCCCTTGCTAAAGGGATAGGATGGCAATCGGAATCCCTAGACTCTAGGCTGTACCTTTGTATACACATCCCACCTGCTCCTCCACCCCACTGCTGGCCTGGATTGGGTCTCCTACCCCCCACTCTCCATAGCATCCCAGATCCCGGTATACCCCCCAGTCCCACTTTGTGGCTGCCCATGCTGTCTATCCCAGGGGAGCAGGCAGAGAAGGGTTAACCTGCGTGCCTCACCACTGCTGCCACTGCTGTTGCTTTATGGATCAGGTTCAGTCTGGAGAAGAGCATCAGCCCAGCCATGGTGGCAGGGGCTGGGCAGGCAGGCTTTCCCTGTCTGCTGCCCTGGGATGGGCAGCACAGGCAGCCTCAAGTAAGCAGGGTAGGGGTCAGCGGGGAGTCCAGAATAGGAGGGGGAAGTGTATTTTTACCTTTTACTCTTCCAGGCCCCTGCTGGCCTGAACATGTGACTGCTCCACACTCAAGCTGGCACTAACACTGATCAACATTTCTGTGGCTCAGTGTTAATGTGTAGCAAAGCCCTAATAGTACAGGAGAAGACAGACCAAACAGTTACTTCAGAACAGTCCTCTCTGCTATACTTTATTTCGGCATTTTCCAAACTACTGCGTTTAGGACCTACTCTAGTAAAGCCAAGCACTCTTGTGCCCCCTCCTTCAGCAACCAGGTCTCCCTACTGCTGATTGCATCTGATTCCTTTACTGGTGGTAAGTGGCATCTGGGAAAAGTGGGGGCAGGGGGAGCAAAGTAAGGGGTGCCACTGATTGCCACTGAGATTTGCACAAGACCCTGCCAGGGACCTTTTGTACCCCCAAAGGGGGTATGCCCCACAATTTGGGATGCACTGTTGTATATGACTCAGTGGTGTTGAATGTCAGTTTTCTAAACCTTCCTAACTACAGATCATTTTCTGACATAAACAGGTATAGAAGCAAACTAGAAATGGCATGTAGTACAGAAATTCAATAGCACAGAAAAGAGGGCACCTTAATATAGAAAGGGGTAGGTTTTTCCTGCTGTAATGCAGTTAAATTTAGCTCCCTCACTTTTTGCCAGTTGATTAGGGCAAGACACAGACCTATCCCATGAGTCATCTTCCAGCAACAACAACAGTCTCTCCCTCTTGTTGCCATCTGTGGTTATTTATCGTTATCTTATTCAGCTAAAGTAGTGGTGCTGGGTGGGCTATTCTGTCTAATCATTTTGCACAGTATTTTCATTCATCAATGAGATTTCTTACCCCTCTTCTCTCTTTTCTGTACCATTAGGTGTTTTCCATGGTCTTCTGTAATAATTGACAAATACATTTCCTACATTCATATAGGTTTTATTTTTTCTTTTAGCCTACGAGTTGCATATAATATTTTGTCCCATGGTACTGCACCAGATTCCATTGCTTTTACTATGCCAGGAAGTATAATTTGCTGGGTTTCTTGCATACTTAATTCCTGCGCAACCGAGCAAGGACATCACACTGTCACTAGATATATGCATTTTTTGTATGGCCAAATTCAGCTTTTAGATTTCACTGTTTATTGCAATCAATCAGCCACCTGTATTTGACTTTCCTAAGGCCGCTTCACATGAGTCAATGTCCTTGTAGCATGTCTGTAGCAGTCACTGGGGCTTTGGCTGGGAAGGGTCAGATTGGAAGTGATTTCTTTCATTTGTTGTGATGTCTTCAGAGGCTGGAAATTATTTTGCACCTTTCCAAAGAACCTTCAAGTATAGCTAAAGACTTTTTAACTCAGATGCCTAAATGCCTAATGTAAGCCACCACCATTTTGTGTGGATTAAAAATTTAGGACTAAATCCTATTTCACTTTTTTGCACCTAAGTGGCACTTACATAGTGATATAAGTACTATTCTTGGTGCTTACGCACAGTTTGGATTCTGTTTGCACTTGCATAGCAGTGCTTGCCATGTACCTCACTTCCGAACAGACTCAGAAAGATGTACTGTTGGGCTCATAGGCTCTAGGGAGAATAGAATTGCCCTGGCACAGACTTTAGAGAACAACAGTGAGGGGGAAGCCAAGAGGTGGAGGAGTTCTGGCCCTTGCTCTGGGTGGCTTTTCTGCATCTTGCATTTAATATTAATTGGATAAAATGGATGAACAAGAGTGGGATAGTTTCTGCTCAACTGGGGACAGAGATGGAACCAAGGACAAAGTTGCATCCACTTCGCTGAGCCATGTTTCCTTTTGCCTCTTGGCCCCATAATTCCCATTCCTGGCAGTCTAGTGCAGGGCAAAAACATTCATTTTGTAAACTGGCAGCTTCACTGGCACACTTTGCTTAAACTGGAGCTCAGAAAGAGCTGATGAGGCTGGAGACTGAGCACTGGGGGTGAGGGGTCCTGTTCTGTTTTAAGATTCAAGAAATACGGCCACCCTAGTTATGCATAATCATAGACCTCATGTTGAATGAGGGAAAAGATGTGAGAGACTTGAACAACTGTATTACTGGGAAAGTGGTGAAATTCCTATAATTCAGGGTGTTTAACATTAGGCTGGACAAAGCACTAGGAAAAAAAGTACTTTTAAGGGAAAAACCTATTTTGGCAGGGGGATGGACTGGATTATATCATAGTCTTTTCATTTATAATGGTACTGTTTAATGATTTATATATTATTAAGGCCTCTGGTGGGGCAGACACCTTGAATTCCTTTTCCAACTTCCCTCTCTGTTTTCCCTAGCAAGCTACAGCTCATAAATGGTCTGAAGACCAACTCCTCGTAAGTCTCATTGGGAGTTACAGTGCTAATATGCAGTTAAATTATGTGATTCTCACTTGCAAAAAGCTCACAGTGAGGTCAAGGGAGTTTTGCTTGGGTAGAGACAAAAAATAAAAACTTGTGAAGATTCAGCAATATTTTTACCATGTTATAAATAAGATATTTCTCCATTTGTACTCCCTTGAAATTTCAGATTGTACTAAGAGGAAACCTTCCCCAAGCTATCTGAGTTGTTGGTCATTGGATTCATCTGGGCAGAATTAACTTAGTGCCTCTGAAGTTATACATGTAAAAATATGACAGTTAAAGTGGGAAACCCATTCACCTCAGGTTCAAGTGATCCTCAGTGGTTTTCAGTTCAGGATTCAGACCTGTAGCTCTATAGCAACAGAGTGGTTATGTTCCCATGTAGCTGTGCTTCGCAAACAAAGGACATGAGGCGCTGAGTATAAAAGGAAGGAAGGGAACAAGCAAGTGGGATAGTTATTACACTCATAGTTTCATAGTTTCTAGGGTCGGAAGGGACCTGAGCAGATCATCTAGTCCGACCCCCTGCCATGGCAGGAAGAGCACTGGGGTCAAACGACCCCAGTAAGGTGGTCATCCAACCTCCTCTTAAAAACCCCCAGGGTGGGAGCCTGCACCACCTCACTTGGAAGCTGGTTCCAGAC